ATGAATGTGTTTTCGAAATAATATATGTGTATATATTATATAACATACATATTTTATACATGTTTATGTATTAGAGTTGCAATTTGGTGGCACGATGGAAGTGGAAAATTTCTGGAATGGGACTTAGCTTGTTATTCCGCCATATCTAATTTTAAATGGCATGTGCTTTCAGCATGTCATGAGTCGTGTCGTGGTGGTTGCTCCGGTGATGGGCCGAAGAACTGCAAAGATTGCAGTGCTGGTTGGCTGATGAACGACAGCCATGAATGTGAAGGTCTGGAAATCCCAGAACAGTCCTCGTTTGTTCCTTGCTTACTCTGTTCGAAAAATGATCGGATTGGTGTAGCAGCGTTGATGCTTTCAGCTTAATTTTTGATGAGTTTGAGTGGGACTGTTTTATTAGATGTGGACGAATGCCTTGAGGAGGGACGATGCGGCGGTGAGCATTCAAAGTGCATCAATACGGAAGGCTCGTACGAATGTACATGTGAAGAAGGCTTCGTCAAGAACTCCAATGGCGCTTGTGACATTGATGTTCGAGGTAAATTTCATTTCGTGCTGCATTAGCTGAGCTTTTTGCTCCCTTCTGCCTCTGAGGGAGCAACGATTTCCAGTCGTTTCACAGCACTTCCCTGTTTTATTCAACAGTTGAGTCTTATATCTTTTTTTTTTGTGATGAGACCATTCCAAACTGTAATTTGCATGTTAACATCCACCAGTGATTGTATATTCCTTGCTAGCAGAGAAAAGTTCCGAAGTTCTTCTAGTGGTACCCAAAGTTCTCAATTGTACTAGTCTTGAAAAGCATTACTTTTAGCAGCTTTTACCAGAACTGCTTAAAGTGTGGCGTACTTGAGTGTTTGTAGTAGAGCTTCTCCTGACCCACCGAGCTGATAACATTCCCATAAGGGTAAGGTAAAAGCAGCAGCAGCAGCGATTCGCTCTGCCGTAGTAGCTTGGCTCCCTGGATGAAATATGGTCTCATTTCGCATCGCTGCTGTAATTATGCCAGTGCATCATTTCAGCGCCACCTTCGGAATTG